CGCCCAGGCTGGAGGGCAGTGGCTCGCTCACGGGCCACGCCAGCATTGACCTACTGGGCTCCAGTGATCCTTCCACCTCAGTCTTCCAAGTAGCTGGAACTACAGGCGCGCGCCACCACATCCGGCTAATTTATTGATTTATTGTAGAGACGAAGTCTCGTCAAGTTGCCCAGACAGGTCGCGAACTCCTGGGCTCAGGCAATCCTCTCGCCTCCGCCTCGCAAAGTGCTGGGGTTACAGGCATGAGCCACCGCGCCCGGCCGAGAAATGTAAATTTAAAAATCCTTAGCGAACAACTTATTCCATTCAAAACCTACCCGGTCCACAAGCGAGTCCAGTCAGGTTCCAGTTCTCCAGAAACGGAGAAGGCTCGCTGCGGTGGACTCAGGTTCTGGGAGGTTTCCCTTCGTCAGTTTGCAATCCCGGATGCCCTGGGCCTCCTCTGAGGATCGCGGGAATTCGCTCAAGGACTGCGCCCATGGAGCCAGGAGTTGTCCGTGCACTGATTGCCCGCAGGGGAAGGGCACGTTCTGCCGGCCACAGGGCAGTAAAGATACGGGCGGGGATCCCATCAGAAAATGCCCACATTTAATTCACGCCCAGCAGAGATCTGAATCGTGTTTTGGTTGCATTGACCGTTCAGGACTCTGGGACCCGGGTCCTACCCTCAAGCGCTGCTGTCTACACCTCAGCCCCATCAGTCAAACCTGGCACACACAGCTTCCCACAGAAACCTGGAGAAGCCCAGGCAACTGATCCATGCTGGGGACTACAGCTAGGATAACTCCAGACATCTTGTCCCAGTCAGAGCCTGCAGACTCAGCATAATATCTGTCCAGTCTTCTGACCACAAGCAACCTGAGGCTCCAAGATCCACAGAGAGTCCTGGAAAACAGGCCACTGCCCTTAAACAGGCCCTTCTCTGCTACCCAAAACCTGCAACCCACAGTAGAAATGGCAGAGGCCTGAACTTCCCCCTCCTCTTCCTCCAAATAGAGAGAGACTTGTTTGGGCCAAGATAGTATAAAAGAGATCAGATTTACCCTCCTGTTTGAAAGAACCAAAACCTAACAAAATGGATGAAACACTGTATTTCAAGACACTGAATATTAGACAAGAAAAGGCAGTAATCCTTTAATGACAGAAAAAAAATAATTTAGGGGGCTGAACACCAAGATTACTCCAAATTTATTTTCTGGAGAGTTTACAGGCTCCAGTTCAGGGAGGGAGAATCCAAGCAGAGTCTGGTGGACCCTCAGAGTTAATGAGAGGGAGTTGACAGTCTGAAAGACCAAGGCGGTTAGAGTTGCAGGACAGCAGAAAGGAAAGATGCAATAAAAGATAACTCCAGAAAGAACTCCTGAAGTATTCAGCTGAATACTGAGGAGTACATGCAGGTATAGAAACTATAAAAGACTGGGGGGAACTATCCAAAAAGATCAGAGGCAACATAATGTTGAATTGTTTTCAAGTGAGAAGCAGAGAGGAATGATGAATGTCTATTCATCACAAGAATTCAAATTCAACTCTTGTCTAATTCATTCTCCGTTTAAAAAAAAAAAAAAAAAGTCTTTGTGGCTTGCACCTGTAGTTCCAGCTACTTGGAAGACCGAGGTGAAAGGATTACCTGAGCCCAGCAGGTTGAGGCTGTGGTGACCATGAGCGTGCCACTGCACTCCATCCAGCCTGGGCGACAGAATGAGATGTCAACTTAAAAAAAAAAAAAAGTCTCCATTTCTTGTTCAGAGTGATAGCTTCCTTAGAGGACAATCTTGACTCAGTTAAATCTGAGGTTTTCAGATATATCTAAAAGAACAAATTTTGAAAAGTTTGTGCTTTTTACCTTTTATGTCTTGATGATTTGAGAAAGTGGTTGGTTTAGGGACTACTCTGGAAAGACACTTTAAGTAAGCTTTATAAAAAATATTGTTTGTAATCTTGCCAATTTTTTTTTCTTTTCGTTAAGCAGGGCTCCCACTCTTTGGCCTTCTGTCCTGCACAGCTCTCTGTCCTAGCCTTTACTCCTAGGGCAAAGGGTGCCAACTCTGTCTGGGGAAATGCCAAACTCTTGGGGACTCAGTAAGAGAATTGGGTTATGAGTGGATCAAAAAAAGATAAGGGCACTAAATTTGGAACATCTCAGAGTATTGTACACGGTTGCCTGCTTTTTACAGGTTAAAAGCCGAGTTTTTATGGAAAAATAACTTGCCTATACAGGGACCAAACCCACAACCTTGGTGTTATTACCACCATGTTTTAACCAAGTGAGCTAGCCAACCCTCCCTAATTTTTTTAACCCACTATCTGAAAAAATGGCTTATGCATCAATATAATTTTCTGTTGTCTTAGAAGAAACATGTATTGTTTCCCATCCTTAATAAAAAGAATGAGAAACTTTCTCTTTAAAAACAAAAGAAAAGAAAGCATACTGATTTTAAGCCATATTCACAGACTTGAAAAAGAATGCTTCTACTTTTCAAACTATGGCTGACTTGGAAATCAGTATGTGCAGATGATGAATCAGACCCACTAAGAGCGAGTTCAGACTTTGAAGAACCGCTCACTAAAGACCTACACTTTGGTGCTTGAAGGATATTCTTGACGTGTCTGATTCTCAGTTGGAATCTCCCAGGTTTCTTCTGCTTGGTGCCTCCAGGACCAGACTTGTTCTCCATTTGGGAATCTTCCTATCTACCTGCTGTCTCAGATTTCCAGAGTGACCTCAAGTCGAAGATCCCTTCGAAGACCTCGCTATTGGCAAAGTTCTGGGAATGTGGCTCTGGTCACCATTCCAGAGGCCGTAAAACCCAATCTTGTCATGAGCCCAATCTTTCCACCCAGTCTTTGTAAATAAATGTTACATTTATTTGTAGTATCTTGATTATTGTTCCAGAGATTTTAAATGCATTAACAGTTATACAAATTTTTTTACTCTTTACTGATAGTAGCATTTTATCCACATTTCTTCTGTTCTCTCCCCTTTTTAAACTAGAATATATTATTGTGATCTTTCCATATCAAAACAGTAAAGAGTTCTTCATTCTCTTTTAAATATGCATGGTACTCAATTATATAATATGTAACATAATTTAATGGGCAATTAGTTTAGTTTTCCATCCAGCTGTTCCAAATACTGTGTATATCTATGAACATGCATCGTATCCCATGTGTGCCATGATACTTTGCACACCTGGAAAATAATATGAGCATTGGCTAGTTTGATGGACATTGTCCCACTGTGCTTTAGAGGGCTTACCCCAATATACTTTTTGCTTGCTTGTTTGTTTTAACTATACTGAGTACAAATATATGGATCCTGGCCACATCCCTACTCCTCCTTCTTCCTGAATTTTGTACTAGTGGTTTGAGGCAAAACTAGACAATCAATGAAATGTCGCATTCATTCATACTGTGGCATGCTACATTTTGGAATATCGCTTTGGGGATGCATTTAATGATGTTTGATAAAGGGGTTGTGGTAGAATCAGGTGGGAGAAGGAAGAGCCTGAACGGAGAGCAGGAAGAAGAGTCAGCAGTGGTCTTTTTTGCACCTCAGAAAGAATAACGTGGGCAGAAACACATAAGAGGAGAAGAGCTAAGGCATGTCAGTCTGTGTGGAGGTTAGACTGAACTGGAGGATGGTACTAGGGCGAGTAGTAGGAGGTGAGGCTCAAGGAGAAGAGAATGTGAACGTGATGCAGGACCCTCTATATATACTTTATATAGAATTCTACATTTAAATCAGTATACTTTACTTGATGGTAAAGGGGATAGGGTGCTAAAGAAAATTAAATGGCATTAATGGAGCTACATCAAGCGTAAACTAAGAAGTTTGATCTCTATTTGCAGGCCAAGCTAAAGAGTTTTGAGTTGGTTCTAACAACAATGGGAATTCATGAGAGGATTTTAGGCAGGGAAGTCACACAAACGGAAATGTATTTTAAAACATCTCAAGTATCTGTGACAGGCAGACAAGTTTATTGTCACTGAGCCCATGTGTAGCTTCCATCTCTGCCACAAAGCTGCTCAATTCATGTGACTAACTTACTAGCACTGGAGTAGCTACTTACTAAGGCTGGCTGACACAGCCTGGCAGGATCATTCTGGTTACTTCGTTATTTAGTACTTCTGTGGCGCACGCACTCTGTTGAACGCTAACAGGTGACATAAAGATCTTCACACTTTGTGCCCACACACCTGGCCGTCCAGTTTCCTTGTGACGACTCCGGTATGTTGCGACGACGCATGCAGGGAAATGCCCTAACCCCATCTCATACCCACCTGAAACGTTCTGAATCGAAGGGAGCTTCGCGATGATCCCTAAGAAGCTAGGTTCCGGCAGCGAGTGAGTGACCAGAGCCTAGCCTGGACTGGGAGGGACACGTCAGGCCCAGAGCTCCAGGATATTCTGGCTCAGTGCGAAGGCGCCACCCCGTACTGATCCCGCAGTGGAAATGATCCCGAGCGGAAAGATCCTTCAGCAAGGCGGCTGGTAACTGAGTCCCTGAGGTCCTCGTGGGGATGGGTAGTGAGAACATCGAGGGAAAGTGTTGTCACGAGAAACAGGTAACCCTGTAGGCTCCGTCTTATTGAGATGTCCCTGCAAAACCATGTCTTATGCATCTCCCCCCATACTTCTTTCCCAAAAGCCATGTGATGACTGGACATACTTGTCTAATATTTAATGCGAAAGGAATGAGCAGCAGGATGTTGGTAATGGCCACTGAGAAGCTGCAGACGCTGGTTTTCAAGCAGAGACCTTCCCCTGCAGAAGTCCTGAGGAAAGCCCGCAAGGGGGCAGTTAGGTTCGGCACAGGGCAGATATCTCCCCCAACCTCTCCCCTTATGAGGCGGTAGCCTCTTACGACGTGCAAGCGGAAGTTTCGCTTCTTGAATACCCTACACCAGAATGGGCATGAAAGATTGTGAGAGACGCCACAATAACAAATTCAACTGAAACTAAGGAATTAAAAAAAAAAAAAAAGAAAGAAACCACCGTCTGTTCCCGCCCGGTTTCGAACCGGGGACCTTTACGCCTGTGAGGCGAACGTGATAACCACTACACTACAGAAACCGCGACGACGGTTACTATCACTCCTCAAAGTAGAAGATAACTTTACTGGCAGTTCCAGATTCGGTATCATTGAATTGACTTTTTCTTCGGAAAATTATAGACTAAAGTGCTTTTCTATTTATTAGACTCAATAATGTCGGAGTCCATGATATTATACTAAATAATTCTAAGCCTGGAGAAAAATGCCTTTTCACACACAGTACAGATTTTAGGCAGTCTCCGCATAGGGTACATTTCCAGAAAAATTCTCAGTCTTTTCCTGTCCAGGTTTATTTCACCGTGGAAGACTCTGTGATCTCCATCTCTTGGGAGCCAGAAAATGATCTCAAGAAAATAATCGGGAGTCAGTGGGCTGGAGTCTGGAAACTGCCCACTCTGTGCCAGGCAGTGCTTCTCGGGTGGAAACAGAGGGAGCGAAAGCCGGGTGCGCCCAGTTGTCTGCCAGGAAGGGTGCAAACTCGAAATGGGGCGGGGGGGGGGGGGGGGGGTCGGCCCTTGTGTGATCGGACTCAGGGCCCAGTTTTAAAGACCTCAAACGGCCTTCTGTGCACGCTCGGTTTCTGATGTCAGTTTTTGTTTTGCCACAGGGGGAAACCACGGTGATGATCAAAGGCAGACCACGCCTCACGGGTTTTGGCCTGTTGCCTGTGGAACGGTAACTGGACCCACATTTTCAAACCTCATCGGTCCTGAGAGCTCGCCAGGAAGCCTCTTCTCGTGCGAGTCAAGACAGCGATTCGCCATTTGGGAAATCTGAGGCGAAAAGGCCGGAAGGCTACTGAATATACAAATCTGGCCCTGTGTTCGTCGGGAGAGGGGGATTGAAAGACTCCGAAGAATCGCGGAACACATGAGACTCTTTAGAAATCCTATGGTACGTTAGATCTCCAGGTTGCGGGGTGCCTGCTCTCATCCAAGACTTAAACGAGAAGCAGAAGAGGATCGCTCTGGGATGTGTAGATACCGGGAACCAGCGTGCCTTGTGACGATGTGCATAATTTACATTCGCTTTCAATTTTATAGTAAAATGACAACAAAAGCCGATTTTTTTCTCTCGAATACTGCTATCAAAGTTTGTGCTTCCCCTAACAGCTTCACATTCGTGTGCGTGTTGTTTTACAAATTGTGAGGTTTCTTCTTCTTCTTCTTCTTTTTTTTTCTTAGCGACGGGGTTTCGCTGTGTTGCCCAGGATGGAGTGCGGTGGCTATTAATACACAGACCCGATTATGACGTACAAGCCCTGAACTTCTGGCCTGAAGTGATCATCCAGGCTCAACTTCCAGAGTCGATGGGGCTACAGGCGCGCTCAGCCTGGCTCAGCTCAAGTTTGTGAGTTTTTAAAAGAAATTTTGCAGTCAGTTCTGCTTCTCATATCGCCACCTCAGTCTCCGTTTTTTGTTGTGTGTGTGTGTGTGTTTTTTTTAATGTACTTTTATCGGAGACCAGTGGTGTAAGGGTAGGTCAGTAAATTCTACATTCTTTTAAAAATTGCATTACAAAAGTAACTTGTGTATAGTCCGTTTTCTGTTGCTTATAATGGAATACCCGAAACAGTAGTTTATAAAGCAAATGAATGTATTTCTTACAGTTATGAAAGCTGAGAAGTCCCCGGTGAAGGGGCTGCATCTTCTTACTAGTGTCACGACCTGGTCCAGAGCATCACGTGGCGGGACGATTACGTGCGCCAAGGTGCTAGCTAGCTCTGGTCTCTCCTTCTGATAAAGTCATCAGTTCCCTTTCCAAGACAACCCATTTATGCATTAATCGATGAATGGATTAATCCATTCAGAAGGGCTGTGATCCAATTATTTCTTTAAGGTTCGCCTCTCAGTTCTACAACACTGGAAATTAAATTTTTCTTCTTTTTGAGTCAGAGTTTCACTCTGTCGCCTAGCCTGGAGTGCAGTGGCACACTCATGGCCACATCAACCTCGACCTGCTGGGCTGAGGCGATCCTTCCACCTCAGCCATTAAATAGCTAGAATTACAGGCGAGAGCTACCGCACCTGGCTTATTTTTTTTTTAATTTATTGTAGAGATGAGGTCTCACCAAATTGCCCAGACTGGTCTCGAAACCCTGAGCTCAGGCAATCCTCTCGCCTCGACCTTCCAACAGAGTGAGACCCCGGCTCAGAAAAATACCTTGTGCAGTGGCTCAGCCTGTAATCCCAGCACTTTGAGAGGCTGAGGAGAGAGAATTGAGCCCAGGGGTTTGAGACCAGCCTGGGCAACTTGGTGAGACCTCATCTCTACAATAAACCATACACACACACACAAAAAAACTAGCCAGGTGTGGCGTACATCTGTAGTTCCAGTTACTTGGAAGGCTGAGGCAGAAAGATCGCCTAAGCAGCAGGTTGACACTCCAGCCTGGATGACAAGAGTGAGACTCCAACTCAAAAAAAAAAAAAAAAAAAAAAAAAGTACCTTGTGCAGCAAATAAAGGTACTAAAATCAAAAAAGAAAAATGGGAAACCCGAATTTAACAAATTTATTAAGTCATATTTGATGAAGAATCTAAGAAAGCTACATATCATATATGAAAATAAAAGATAAGTGAAGCTTAAACAAGTTGGCTTAAAATTTTATGTAAATATTCAAAGAATATTCTATAAATGTGGACTTCTTTGAGTTACACGGAATCTCTCTCTCTCTCTCTCTCTCTCTCTCTCTCTCTCTCTTTTTTGAGTTGGAGTCCCATTCTGTCACCCAGGCTGGAGTGCAATGACACGCTCACGGCCACCGCAGCTTTGGCCAACTGTGCTTAGGCAGTCCATCCACCTCAGCCTTCCAAGTAGTTGGAACTACAGGCACGTGCTACCACACCCGGCTATTTATTTATTTATTTATTTATTTATTTATTGTAGAGATGAGGTTTCGCCAAGTTGCCCAGGTTGGTCTCCAACCTGTGGACCCAGACAATCCTCTCACTTCGGCCTCCCAAAGTGCTAGAATTGTAGGGGTGAGCCACCGCGCCTGGTCGAGGTAAATGTTAAACTCATTTTGAGATTAGGAACTGAAGTTCTTAGTGATTAGATGTGGAACTAGTAAAAGATTTCTACTTCCCTATTTTTCTTTAATTTGGAACTCATTAGCTGCAGGAAATGTGTAATTCAAAAGGGAATTCAGAAGGGAAAAAGAAATTGAATTCCTCCCTTTAGTAAAAAAGGAAATTAACAATGGTATTTAAAAGGTCAGCAGTTTTAAGGAAATATGCCTAAGCTGGTATCTTCGAATATGGGTTTCTCAGTCATTATTGTGAGAACTACACTATTTAACTAAGCAAATTGAATACTGTGTAGGAAGATATTTAATAGATAAAAGAAAATTTCCACTGTCCTAATCTCTTCTCTTCAAATTCTGTAAACATGCTTATTCTCATAATATATTCAGAACAATACAAAGAAGTCTACATAGGAAATGCAGGCATCTGGTCATCAAGATAGAATGCATACTTATTTTGAGTCTCAAGTAAATAATTGACTACTTGTGTTTAAACAATCCCATGGCCCCAATGCTCTGCACACCACCCTTCCTTTATACATTCTATAGAATCTTGTCTACTATCGTGTTTCTTCAAAAATTTTTCCCCAAAGTCAACAACAATAAAATCACACTCTTCTTAATTCCTGCCTTTCCAGGTGAGAAGAGAAAGAAACAGAAAAATCTCAACGTTCACAGTCATTACCAGTTTCCCCTCTCAGGGAAAACTTTCTTACATTCGCTAGTAGCAACTCAAGAGGGAAAAAAAAAAGTTTCATAAGAGAACTTTTTAACAAATAAAAAAGTGTAACCTTGATAATTTCTTGAAAGGAAAATCAATTTGGTGTTACTAAAACTGAAACAATCAGAAAAATATAGTTCTCTGTCAACGTATAGTCTACTCAGGTTTCCGTAGTGTAATGGCTATCACGTTTGCTTTATATGTGTAAAGGCCCTCGGTTCAAAACCGAGGGGAAAATAGACCTTTTTCCAGATCTTTATTTTAAATGATTCTTTAGGTGAACCTATTAGCGTCAATCTTTAGAATTGCACCATTGCACGAGTTCACGCGCTCTGTTAACCTTCGGAAAGAGAATATTGTCCCGTGCCTCCCCTCTGCAGTCAGCTGTGGTGTGAATAGAAGAGGGTGCCCACCTCGTGGTGAGAGGGGGACCCACTCTTCAGAATCTGAACTACCTACCGCCTGAGGGCTGTCTTCAAAGAGAGGCTCTTTGGGATTTCCACAAGGGAAGGTCTCGGATTCGAAAATGATATCCATAACCACACGGGTGAACAGTACCAGTCTCCAGCAATTTATTTATTGCTAGATAATAGTTCAGACGTCACATAACTTTAGAAAAAGAAGAGGAGATAGAAGTATGGGGGTACCACGGGGAAAGGGTTGCACCAGACAAGATTGTGCAGAGACGCCTCAATGAGGCAGAGCCTACTGGGTCGCCTGCTTCTCGCGACGACACTTTCCCTCGATGCTCTCACCGCCTGTCCCCACGAGGACCTCAGGGACTCGGTTCTCAGCCGCCTGGCTGAAGGATCTTCCGCCGATGGTCGTTTCCACCGCAGGGTCAGTGCGGGGCGATGCCTTTGCACTAAGCCAGAGTATCCGGGAGATCCGGGCCCGACGCGCCCCTCCCGGTCCAGATTAGGCTCTGGAGGCTCACTCGCTGCTGGAAGCCTCGCTTCCCCGGGATCATCGCGAAGCTCCCCTTCGACTCAGTACGTTCCAGGTGGGTATGGGATGGGGTTAGGGCATTTCCCTTCCTAAGTGTGCACTGGGGTCGTCACAAGGAATGGACGAGCAGATGTGGGGCACAAAATGTGAAGATCTTTGAGTCATCTGTTAGCGTTTACCAGCGTGTGTCCACCACAAAAGTACTAATCGACGAGGTAACCAAAATGATCCTGCCGGGTGGTGTCAGCCAGCCCTAGTAGCCACTCCGACGCTGGCAAGCTGGTCACTTGAATTGAGCATTCTTGTGGGGGGGGGGTGGAAGCTCCG